AGGCCTCGGGCGTCAGTGCGTAGGCCTTTAAAATGGCAGTCTTGACCAAACTATAGTTATTTTGAACGTCGTGAGAGAGTGCCTGGTATGTTTTTGCAGCTTTCCCAGTAAGGACAGAGCTCAATAAAGCAGTAATGGAAGTTTCGGGCCATTCACATGTCTTCGCTAAACTCTCAAACGAGTTAAAGAAAACGACCAAATCTGTTTCATCAAATTTAGGAACTAATTTCCCAAATTTGGCAATCACTTGCCCTACCGACAACTTTTTTGGATCTACCGGAGAAGTGACATCACTAACTTGACCAAACTCTAATTCCAACCTCCTCTTATCTAAAGCAATTTTGGCCTCTCACTCCTGTTTCTCTAGAGCACTTTTAGTTTCAAACTCCTTTTCTTTTAAAGCCTTCTCTAAAGCAACTTTCTCCTTCTCTAAAGCAATTCTAGCTTCTAATTCTACCTTCTCTAGAGTTTTCTCCTCGCGGAGCAACACCCCAGCCAACAAACTTTCATCAAATACTCCTTCATTAATGAAATGAACAACAATTTTATCTCTCAACACCTCTGACTTCTGCGTAACAGAATAATCCAATTTCAATTCCTTAACAAGACTAATCAACACTTTTCTACTCAACTTTTCTACACCTTCAAAAGTAGGATTAGCCAAAAAAGACTCCATAACCCTAACGTGAAAATCACAACAAGCCTAGATCCTTTAAATTAACACACCGTGTTGGGCCGTGTACTTGACCTCTAAATGTAGGACGACACGTCTGCTTATTTGACCTAGATAACTCTAGCCTGAGCGCGCGTTGTAAGACCACGGCGCTACACTGGATATAAAAACAACTAGACCCAACTAAACTTAGGGCTTAACTGATATAACCAACAACTGGAACGACAGATTAAATCCCGGACGAGCCCCCACTTTGTAACGTTAACCTATCTATCAGCCAAATAGAAGGAGAACGTCCCCGGATTCTTTTTTCGGGGTCATATGCAAATGCCTTACGGCCTAAGTGGATGAACACTTAACACAACGACACACTAGGGCTCGAAATTAATGTCTAGGGAAGCTAGTGATACTATTGTAATTAACACTCATCCAATCTACATACGACCTTTTAATCAGCGAACTCAGAAGTGGCAGAACACAAAGATGAACTAGATAAAATATTTAATGTATAGAATATCAAAAACCCAACTTACACAATGTAGGAAAAAACACTATCACAGATTTCTACACTGTCTAAAGAACAGCTACAGGCCACACAACACTACTGTAGCTTCAAGACTTACTTAGCGACAAGTAATATTAAACTAGAAGACTAAATCAACTGAAGAAAGCAAGGCGCACACAGGTCTTAAGTACTCTCACGTTCAAATGGTCAGAGTCTATAGCCGGACAATATGGACGGCTGCCTGATAAAGGTAAAACAGCCTCGTAGACTGCCAGGTCAAGATAAACTGCCTCGTGTTGCGAGTGTGCAGGGCAATTAAAGACTTCTGTGACAGGGGAGGTTATCCTCAACTCATGTCGCCATTGGTTGGGATAATCATCTGATCAGAATCATTCAATCAGATTTTAATGGAAATTTTCTATGTCTCAAACACCTTAATAAGTCAGTGGAAAAACCCCAGGTGTTACACCATCATTCCATATAAGGAATTATACAATGTCAAAATAAAAATGACTCGACCTAAGTAGGTCACAGTACAAACAGTTTTACGACTAAAGATGCAAGTAAAAATTTATTTTGATGTCTACATATACCGTATATGCAATTCATAATAAATTAATATGCCATTTTTAATTACTTGTTTTCTTATACATATGTTTTATTAACTAATTTGTATAAAGGTGCGTTTAAATAAGTTTTGCCTAGGGCGCTAAGTAACCAGGCGCCGGCACTGTGGTCAGCCCTATGTCCAGCCGCTTTTACTTTCCCTAACGTGAGTACTCAGGTACCCATCAGAGTTGGGTGGAGTCAGGGACGGTCCACTTAAACCCGGTTTTGTGAATTCAAGACTTTCGGGTTAGCCGGGTGGGGGTGTATAAACAGGCAAAGCTATTGGCAAAGAAAAAGCGCAAATGAAGATTAATAAAACGCGCAAATGTAACAAATAGCATCGGCAGACAGGTATTAGACTTGATTGTAGGTAGACCGCAAACATACTTGCGAAAGATCAGCTGTAAATGAAGCAGACGCAGCCGGAATGTCGTGGGCCAAACTTTGAAGAATCCTCCAACCCCCGAGTACAGTGTATGTGTCTGATAACCGACTCTAATAAATTATACACAGTGTTTCTTTCAGACATTTTTCTCCACTGAGGGTGTGTGTGTGTGTGTGGTGGGGGGGGGGCTGGTTAAAGTAGTCTGTATATTTTCTAGATAAAATATTTTTTAAATCTTTTGTGTTCGGAGGGGGAGAGAGTGGGAGTGGGGGGGGGGTGCCTGAAAGAAACCAATTATAAAACTTCAAAGTCCTAGTACATGAAAACTACACGTAAATCTGTCTACTTAGTAAACCTAGGTACTACAGTAAGTAAAAAAAATGTTTTGATAGTTGAACCCACTGTTCGGATTCCTTTTAGAATTGTCTGATTAGAATTGTAATATATTGTCTATCTGTAACATTAGCTAGGCACGATTTTTGCACACGGCCCTAACGTATGACCACTGGACTTATTTTGCACACGGCAACAGACCGAATTTATTTATTTTTTAACTGTGTCTGTTTGAAAATTAAATGTTATTAAAAGATCCTTATTCGTGATGGTTCTTTGTGGGTTTTTTTTTTGTTAATAGCAATGCTAACTATTTATATACAGGATAATTTAGAGTCTCTGAGCAAAGATCTAAAAATATTTTTCTGTCATTTAGAAATTCTTCCTTGCGTCAAATTGTCTTTGTCAACAAAAGTTGTCTCTGGTGATGGCGTTTACGTCTGGCATGGCTGACAATATATTGCTAACTGTATATTATAGCTATATAATATGGCTAATAGTAGTATACCATGGCTACCAGTATACATGGCCAATAGTATACCTTGGCTAACAGTATATTATAGCTATAATATGGCTAATAGTATAACATGGCTAAGAGTATAATGTGACTAATAGTATAATAAGGCTAATAGCATACCATTGCTAACAGTATATTATAGCTATATAATATGGTAACAGTATACAAGGGTAACAGTATATTATAGTTATATAGTATGGCAAATAGTATACCATGGATAACAGTATATTATAGCTATATAATAAGGCTAAAAGTATACAAGGCTAACAGTATACCTTGGCTAACATGGTATTATGGCTATAAAACATGTGTAATAGTATAATATATAACTAACATTATAACATGACTAACAGTATAATATCACTAGCAACATAATATGACTAATAGTATACCATGGCCTTCAGTAAAATATAGCTAACAGTATAACATGGTTAACAGTATAATATGGCTAAAAGTATAACGTAACTAACAGTATATACCAACAAAAATATAACATCATAGTCACTGACTAGAGCAGCACCACCGACTAATTCAACATCATGGATTAAATCATCACCACTGAATACATCAACGTCACTGACTACATCAATATCACTGACTAAATCAACAACACTGAATAAATCAACACCACTGACTAAATCAACAACACTGAATAAATCAACATCACTGACTACATCAACATCACTGACTACATCAATATCACTGACTAAATCAACAACACTGAATAAATCAACACCACTGACTAAATCAACAACACTGAATAAATCAACATCACTGACTACATCAACATCACTGACTACATCAATATCACTGACTAAATCAACAACACTGAATAAATCAACATCACTGACTACATCAACATCACTGACTACATCAATATCACTGACTAAATCAACATCACTGACTAATTCAATATCACTGACAAAACCAACATCACTGACTACATCAACATCACTGACTACATCAACATCACTGACTAAATGGACATCACTGACGTGGATTAACATCCTAAGACTAAACCTCCAACAGCCGATTCTTATCTCTTCCACCCAGCAGATTTTATTTTGCCGGTTTTCATCAGTTGGCTTATACTTACAGATCAGTGCAACAGACGGCGTTTTGGTATGGGGAAGGGGGGGGGGGGGTGTAAAACAATTGTCATGCTGAACCCCCCTCCCCCCCACACACATACACCCAACAACCTTCCATACGCCACTGACACGGAGAAATCATGCCTTGTGGTGCTAGAGTACACCGGCCTAGGTCAAGGTTACGGAGATAACAAATTCGTCTTTAAATCATAATTTTTTTTAGTAATTTGTTTTGTTCCGGAAATCTCGACCGGCATTTTCTTTTTTTTTTTCCCCAGCTACTTTTACCATATGCAGGTTTTTTTTTATTAGGGACAAGATCTAAACGCTCAGCTGAACTAAATTAGACTTCTGTTAAACTTTTACTTTGTTCTCAAAGTCTGCCTGCCTTTCTCTCTGTCTGCTTGTCTGTCCACTTGTCTGCCTGCCTGCCTGTCTGTCCCTACGTCTGTCTGTCTATACAGTTCTTCTACCATCGATCCAACTTAAATCAACGAATAAACCTGACTACGGAAAGCATTTGGTGTTCAATCTTTAGAATAGGTGAAGATTTGTTACTTGCTTACCCCCTTCCCTTTCGCCCCCTCCCCCCCCCCCTTCCATTTCAACATTTTAAAAAATGAAAGAAAAAGAAGTGCCCAAAACCCAGCCGTCAGTTATCAGAACTTTACATTAGTTCACAAACCGCCAATGAAAATAAAATGCAGTACTCATATAATATGAATTGTTTCAAAACACGACTTGTGTTCTTTGGCAATTTAGCAGGTTTACAATAAAATAAAGTAGATCAAAATTCTAAATAAAGATTTAAAAAGTTAAATTTTTTAAAATGTAAAAAAAAAGTATTTTGGCCTTGATTTTGCTATAAATTGAAGCCACAAAAAAAACTGGCTACTTTGATCGCAAACGTCAGCTTGAGGTAATCAAAATGAACAAGATCATCCTCGTTGCTGCTTCCCTTACGGCTGTTTTGGCTGTTGCCTACGGAGCAGCCTGTCCGGCCAGCAGTGTTACCTTGGCCTGTGGCCTCTTGGCCAAGCACAATGCCGGCATCCTTCATTTGGCCACCAGGCACCCATCTGGCGTGGTCGACTCGGCCTTTGCCTACAACAACATCAAGGACATGTGTGATGGTTTGGCCGCTCACAGATCACAGTAAGTTTTCCCCTATTGCCAGATGGCACGGTACGTTCTTTGTAAATAAAATTTGGCTTGCGAAAAAAAAATATTTGTAAACAAAAATTCGGCTTGCGAAGAAAAATAATTTTAAATAAAATTTGGCTTGCAGGAAAACTTCAAACGCCATGTTGCCAGATTATTTTGGCGTCGGCGACTAAATAAAATCGGTACAGAGAAATTATAAATGTGCTGATGAAAGAATTTTATATTTTTTTCCGTTATGGGTTAATGTGCGGAAACACACACACACACACACACACACACACACGCGCGCGCACACACACACAAATGTTATCTATATGAAGGTTAACCTTTGATACCACCACAAGTTACTAAAATATTAAACCGCTAATTAATGATAAGCACACCTTGACCAAATGGAAAATGTACTTCATAATTAAGTCTTCTGAATTACTAGAACATTTAATTAATATGGTTCTATTTTTTTAAACAGTATATTTATACATCTAACCTGATTATCTATCTACTAGCCCTCAGTACCCTTTACACGTGAATTTTAGGCCTATATATTTTAATGTTATACTTGTTTGAGAAAAATATTCTATAAAAAAGTAATTGGTCAAAACGCAATGTGCTTTACTACACGTTGAACGATATTAGTGACAAAGCAAAGCAATAACTAAATAGCTAAAAAATCCGACAACTCTAAAATAACATAACTACAAATACCTATTAGAAAAATTAAAACCAAATTGTATACATTATTAGTCAACACAACACCTGCCTCATAGACCATCAGGTTTTAAAGGGAACTTTACTTAACTCCTTGTATCCATAAGTATCCACATGTATCCACATGTTCTTAATGCCTTGTATCCACGATCCACAGCTACACCTGCTCTGAGTGCCCGTCCCCAGGCGCTCCAGGAGGCACCGTCTGCCTCACCCACAACCTGCTCAACTACCTGACCCACTTGGTCGCCAGGGGTCAGGTTATTGTAAGTAGCCTTTGGTAGGGATCCAGGGGTCAGTCACTGTAACTTTTGGTAGGGATCCAGGGGTCAGTCATTGTTTGTTTGGGATCCAGGGGTCAGTCACTGTAACTTTGGTAGGGATCCAGGGGTCAGTCATTGTTTGGTTGGGATCCAGGGGTCAGTCATTGTGAGTAACCGTTGGTTTCGATCCAGGGGTCAGTCATTGTTTGGTCGAGATCCAGGGGTCAGTCATTGTTTGGTTGGGATACAGGGGTCAGTCATTGTTTGGTTGGGATCCAGGGGTCAGTCATTGTTTGGTTGGGATCCCGGGGTCAGTCATTGTTTGGTTGGGATCCAGGGGTCAGTCTTTTAAGTAACCTTTGGTAGGGATCCAAGTGTCAGTCATTGTTTGGTTGGGATCCAGGGGTCAGTCATTGTTTGGTTGGGATCCAGGGGTCAGTCATTGTTTGGTTGGGATACAGGGGTCAGTCATTGTTTGGTTGGGATCCAGGGGTCAGTCATTGTAAGTAGCCTTTGGGATCCAGGGGTCAGTCACTGTAACTTTGGTAGGGATCCAGGGGTCAGTCATTGTTTGGTTGGGATCCAGGGGTCAGTCATTGTTTGGTTGGGATACAGGGGTCAGTCATTGTTTGGTTGGGATCCAGGGGTCAGTCATTGTAAGTAGCCTTTGGGATCCAGGGGTCAGTCACTGTAACTTTGGTAGGGATCCAGGGGTCAGTCATTGTTTGGTTGGGATCCAGGGGTCAGTCATTGTTTGGTTGGGATACAGGGGTCAGTCATTGTTTGGTTGGGATCCAGGGGTCAGTCATTGTTTGGTTGGGATCCAGGGGTCAGTCATTGTTTGGTTGGGATCCAGGGGTCAGTCATTTAAGTAACCTTTGGTAGGGATCCAGGGGTCAGTCATTGTTTGGTTGGGATCCAGGGGTCAGTCATTGTAAGTAGCCTTTGGGATCCAGGGGTCAGTCACTGTAACTTTGGTAGGGATCCAGGGGTCAGTCATTGTTTGGTTGGGATCCAGGGGTCAGTCATTGTAAGTAACATTTGGTTGGGATTTAGGGGTCAGTCATTGTTTGGTTGGGATCTAGGGGTCAGTCATTGTTTGGTTGGGATACAAGGGTCAGTCATTGTTTGGTTGGGATCCAGGGGTCAGTCATTGTAAGTAACATTTGGTTGGGATCTAGGGGTCAGTCATTGTTTGGTTGGGATCCAGGGGTCAGTCATTGTTTGGTTGGGATACAGGGGTCAGTCATTGTTTGGTTGGGATCCAGGGGTCAGTCATTGTAAGTAACATTTGGTTGGGATCTAGGGGTCAGTCATTGTTTGGTTGGGATCCAGGGGTCAGTCATTGTAAGTAACATTTGGTTGGGATCTAGGGGTCAGTCATTGTTTGGTTGGGATCCAGGGGTCAGTCATTGTAAGTAACATTTGGTTGGGATCCATATAGTTTGGAGAGCACATCTAACGCCCCCCCCCCCCGTTAACCAGTGTCGAAAGACTCCCCCCCCCCCCCCCCGCCCGATTCACGGACGCAATTAAAAAAAAAAAAACAACTAACCATTCAGTTTATGATATTATGTTCCCACTACCCCATACAACTTACTAGTAAAATACCGACATAGACTTGATGTTTTATGTCCCCACTACCACATACAACTTTCTAGTAAAATACCGACATAGACCTGATGTTTTATGTCCCCACTACCACATACAACTTACTAGTAAAATACCGACATAGACCTGATGTTTTATGTCCCACTACCACATACAACTTACTAGTAAAATACCGACATAGACCCGATGTTTTCTGTCCCCACTACCACATACAACTTACTAGTAAAATACCGACATAGACCTGATATTTTCCACCTTCCTCTTAAGGTCAACGAACTGGCCGGTGCCTGCCACACCTGTGGTTCCAGACATTACAACGGTCAAGCTGTTGACCTCCACAACGACGGCAGAAGTGCCGAGTACCTCAGCACATGCACGTGAGTGAAATCTATCTTTAGATCTTATTTTGCTTTGTCACGTTCACTGCGCTGGGAGAAACGAGCCAGTATTTCGTTCAAAGGGAGGTAATCGAGTTAATACTGTCATCAAAGGGCAATAACTGGTTAATTCGCGGTGTAATTTTTTTTTAAAAAAGGGTAAAAGAATTAAGAATTTTAAAGATGGGAGTGGGAGTAATATATATATATATATATATTTATTTATTTGTTTTACATATATATATATATATATATATATATATATATATATATATATATATATATATATATATATATATATATATATACATACATATAATTGTTTTTCTATTTATACATTTTTTCCTTATTTTTTTTTTGGCAGGTCTATGGGAGGATGGGGACAAAATGAAGGCAACCATATCCACTGTCAGTTCTACGACTAAGATCTGCCTACTGTGTCTTTGTACATACTTAAATGCCTGTCTGATAAATACAACACTGGCCAGGCTAATAGCCGGTCAGTGGGTTGATAGAATGTTATTGTTTTTTCTTTTTCTTAATTGTAATTTGTTTGTATAGGATTATCTTCCTTTAAGCCAAAGTCCTTGGAGTAAGCTATGGGTTATTGGCCTTTACTTGGATAATATTAATAACACAAAAAAATACCCAAAAAAAAAAACAAGCAATTATTTGAGTGTTGAAATAATTATTTATTAAAATACCAGCAATAGAAATATCAGGGTACTTATACTCATTGAGACAGACTCAATAATTTACAAAACACATATAAAACACAAGCCTGTGGGTAGCAGAGTTGAGGCTGATGATGTTTGTTCCAATGCAATGGTTCTCAAATTTTCTAATGCTGGGACCAGAGCCTGGTTCTCTTACCAAGGTTTGTATGTAAGATGTAATAACACGACAACCTTTGTAGACAAGACCTTTTTATGCCTACAGACAAGTCTAGAACCACTGCAGCCACCTCTACAAGACACTTTTCTGACAGGTCTATTCACTGAATTGTTTAAAATACATGTTTTGTTTACAAACAATTTCTTATATAAATACAAAAAAAAAATTTCGATTATTGTACATAACATGTTTTGTTTACAAAAGATTTCTTATATAAATTAAGAAAAAATAATTTTTATTCTCAATGACTGTACACATGTTTAAAAAATAATTTATGCATTATTCCATTAACACAGAATTATTCTAATAAATTAACAAGTAAACTAATAAAAATTAAAAACAAATAAAAGAGTAAATACACATAACACAAAAATGGAATTTCTAAAACATTCCTGATGTAGTGTAGTGATCTGTTCAAGTTTGAGATTCTAATGAAGATGTTCATGTTCTAATACACACATCAGTAACTGAACAAAATCCTTTGCTATAATAAAAAAAAAACATCTGCTGGTCTGGTCAAATAAAAGAAAAATTCTTGTAAAATAAAACTCAAGCTGTATAAAAATATGTTCTAAAATATTATAAATCACACAAAACTGAGAAAAAACCAAAGACATAAAATTAAAATAAGTTAATGTACTAAATTAAGAAAAGATAATAAAATTTCTTTCTAAGGGAGACAACCTTACTATTACTCATCACCCCCTTCCTCTTTTTAAATTCTGCTACAAGTTCAAATAGTAACAGTAAAAGAAAGATAGTTGCTTTTATTAAATCAATTTGCTGTTTGTATTTAAACTGCTTTAGAGCACATTAGATATGGGAGATAATGCTGATTGTTTTATTCTTTATGGAACGTTTCAACAACAAAATGTACCTAAATTAAGGGAGGTAACTTTTGAAAAGTCTTGTATAAAAATTGTTCACAAATCTTAAGTTCTTTTTAGTTTTAACATGAAATATCTTTCTACATAAAACAATTTTCTAACAATAATTTGTATATTACAATACTGACTGTAATAGATAGCATACAAGTAATTATAAAAGGTCAAGGTCTAAAATAATGACCCCTATTGGCAGCGTTGAATAAGTGGACAATGAGCCCTCCCCCATATAACTAGTCCAGCTGGACATATCAAGTCCAGTCATTGTGTTGATAGCTAAGTACAAAAGCAAATTTAACAACAATGTAAACAAATTGATATGTTACTTGATATGCAATCATTACTGCTGTATGTACCATACCAGCGTACAATAATACCACCATAATGGAATCTTCATAAAAAAGGGGTGTTAGGTTGGTAGTAAACATAGCTTGCTAAAGATCAATGCTAACCCTATCCTTAACCCAAACCTAATTCTAATCTGACCATTGCTCTAACCCTAACAGTAAACGTGATATTACTTTACTACACACAACCTAACACACCTATTTTTGGAACAGTCCATTGTCAGACATTGGCAGCAAGAAGACCAAATATAATTTTTTATCACAACAGGGCCCTTAAAAACATGAATTATTAAAAATCTCATTTTATATTACCAAAAACATGATACAATCGAATGCCATTTTAATGTTTTTTGATAACATCCCATTCTAATTTGGCTAACAGATAAATTAAAAATTCATAACAAACTTCTAAGACAAGAATAGGATAATAAATGTGTCAAACGTGAACAAGCTTACAAAAACGGCAACAGCAAAAATATTTTTAAAATTATTTCTACAGTAAGAAATAAAAATGAACATTCTAATTACCGGGCACCAAAAGTTTACAATAACAGCAACATAGTTACTCTCTTTAACTTGAGGTAAGTTTGATGATGGCACTTTATCAATTTACATACACACAATAGTTGCTTAGCAACTCAACTTGCCGGTTTACATTCAACAGTAATGGTATCAAGCAACCTGAACGCACTTTACTTTTCAGGAATTACAACGTTTTTTTTTTTTGCTCTAAAATTTGTTGATTGACTATTTTACCTAAAAAAAATTTATACGGACTCAATGTATCTTAAATTATGAAAAGCTAAAGCTAACTTTAAAAAAAAAATAAGCTTAAACAATTAAATCTTTGTTTCTAGTCTTCACAAAGTTAGGAAATTAAATAGCGATTTTTTAGTGATGCATTAAAACAAATTATCCAAATGATAAGCACCAAAATATATACTGGAAAGGATATAGCACATAAATAATGGTCTTCTCGATTCAAAAGTTTGTATTTCACAACTAATTTAGCCATGAATGTGAAGGATAATAAAAGTGCTTTTAATTAGTAAAAAAAAGAATTAAGCATTAGAGTAAAAAAAAATTATATCAATTTATCTGTTCTTGTAAATTAGATTAAAAGTATTTTGAAATTTTACTATACAAGAATTTTAATGCTTAAATTTACAATAGTTTTTAAAATTATGAAAAATGATGAAAAATATAAGAAAAGTTTGTCTCCTATGTCAACAATATTGCTAAGTCCCTCTATGCTTGATACCATTAAAACTCATTGTTTTGAATTATAAGTTCACACTGAATACATCAATAGGCTCGGAATGTTCGATAGCCAAATGGCACAAATAAAGTAACTGGCGTGAGGTTACCCTGTTTGTTCTAGTTTTCTGAAATGTTACCAGTACCAGTACTTAAATGACCCTGTCGTCCAGTTTCCTGAAATGACCATTAGACATAACATCAGATTTAAAATCAGTTCTTGAACTGGCAGTGAGAGTGTATTCACTGGGGCTTAATGCCTGATGTTTGGACAACTGGTCAGGATAATCCTGATCAACAGCAGTGTTCTCCCTTTCAAGGTGACCACTTGTGTCTTTCATTAGCTGCCCCATTTGTTCCTCGTTGCACAATTCCTGCTCGCACCTTTTAAAAATGTGCTTGAAATATTTTAACCTCGTCACAAAGGTGACGGCAAAAATTGTTACGAAAGATGTGATCATTGCAAAGCTTCTAAACGGGAAAAGTTGGCCTTTTGTTGAATGATAAAATGGAAAAAAAATCCAAACTGGCATGTTGATCACAGATTCGCCAGCACCCACTCTCAAAAGCAGGCCAAAGAAAAATCCAGCGATAGAGCCAACAGTGTTTGTATATTTAGGAAAGTATAAGAGGGCAGTCAGCTGGGGGAAGATGATGACAAAGACGAAGTCCGCGGCCAGGATAAACATTCCATAAATGACGCTGGACGATAATGCGATCAGCATGCACATGCAGCCAAAAAATATTACTGCGCTGATATGCATGATCTTGAGTTCTTTCTTGGAAGCCTGGGAAAAGAAAATGGTTGAGACAGTTTTAACAAAACACTAAAATTAAAATAAAAAACATCATTAAAGCGGACTACACCAATACTTTAATTTATTAACAGCATTCAGCTTTAGGTTAAGGTTTTTTAAGTTATTTTTTTTAATGCTGACTGTTTACTTGCAAAACACAATGAATATGTAAAAAATTAAAAAAACTTTTTAAAAAACCACGTTTTTCTTGAGGACTAAAAAGTAGAAAATAAATTTTCATACATTTGATGACAAAAAACGTGGGTACGTTCACCATCAAATTTCCCGACCCATCTGCCCGACCCACGTATTTTGTCATCAAATGTATGAAAATTTATTTTCTACGTTTTAGTCCACAAGAAAAACGTGGTTTTTTAAAAAGTTTTTTTAAGTATTTTATTTTCTCCTTTTTAGTCCGTTACTACACATGAAAAACGTGGTTTTTAAAAAAGTTTTTTATATAGTTTATTTTCTACTATATCTAATGACTTGATTAAGTATGACTTGACTAAGTGTTTATAAATACACGGACTAAAAATCTTGAGCGACCAGGATTCGAACCTGGGTTGTCGCGGCCACAACGCGAATTACTAACCACTATACGATCACGGCCAGCGCGCTCACATCGATTGGGGCCGAAGTAACTGTGTCAATAGGCCTCCAGTCTTGTCGGTATCTTTAGAAATCATGTCCTCAATTTTATGGTCCTTGGGGCGTAATTAAATTAAGCTAATTACGGTCTCTAATTGCTAGTTTTTATGATTGCATCTGAAATTGTTAGGCGAAAGTAGCCTACATGCCAAATTTCAGATCTATTGAGCAATCAGAAGTGGGCTAATTTTCGATGTCAATTTTAACAACAAACACACGCGAAGCTGAGTTAATAAAAACGTGTTAAAAATGTCTGACCTTAGGCCTAAACATGACTTCATAGATGTTGTGTGTAAACATTGAACTGGTGCCCAATACAGCGCTGTCCATAGATGACATCACAGCGGCAGAGATGGCACCAAGGCCTGGGAAATAACAGAGTAAATATAAATATATAAACATAAAGGTTTTTTTTAACCGAAGCTGGTGGTAATTTAATCAGTTGAAAACAAGCAAACAGACAAAACTAACACAAATACTAACTGACAGAACACTAACACAAACACCACTGACCAGACAGACAACTGATACACCAAAGACAGACACAGATACACCACTGACCAAAAGACAGACACAAATTAGACACTGCTGACCAAAGACAGACACAAATGATACACCACTAATCAAAGACAGACACAACACAAACACCACTGACCAAAGAAAGACACGACACAAACACCACTGACCAAAGACAGAACAACAGATACACCACTGACCAAAGATAGACATAACAGATACACCACTGACCAAAGACAGACACAAATTAGACACTGCTGACTAAAGACAGACAACAGATACACCACTGACCAAAGATAGACATAACAGATACACCACTGACCAAAGACAGACACAACAGATACACCACTGACCAAAGACAGAACAACAGATACACCACTGACCAAAGACAGACAACAGATACACCACTGACCAAAGACAGACAACAGATACACCACTGACCAAAGACAGACAACAGATACACCACTGACCAAAGATAGACATAACAGATACACCACTGACCAAAGACAGACAACAGATACACCACTGACCAAAGACAGACAACAGATACACCACTGACCAAAGACAGACAACAGATACACCACTGACCAAAGACAGACAACAGATACACCACTGACCAAAGACAGACAACAGATACACCACTGACCAAAGACAGACAACAGATACACCACTGACCAAAGACAGAACAACAGATACACCACTGACCAAAGACAGACAACAGATACACCACTGACCAAAGACAGACAACAGATACACCACTGACCAAAGACAGACAACAGATACACCACTGACCAAAGACAGACAACAGAAACACCACTGACCAAAGACAGACAACAGATACACCACTGACCAAAGACAGAACAACAGATACACCACTGACCAAAGACAGACATGACACAAACACCACTGATCAAAGACAGACAACAGATACACCACTGACCAAAGACAGACAAAATGATACACCACTGACCAAAGACAGACACGACTGAAGGTGTGAACTCATTGATCACTAGAGGCAAGATTAGACTGGACTTGTTGGTTCCTATAGGAGATGATCCCAGGGTCGTGTTAGCCCAGTCTGGAGGGAGAAATGGAAAACTTCATTAGGACAAATTTTAAAATCCCACCACCACGTGATTTTTCTGATTTATTTTTTTCATGTTGAAGTAAGGTTTCATAATAAAGGTTGTATATTTTTAAAAAATGTGTGAGAAAAATTATATTATTAATACAGCAGATATATCTATCTAAAAAGACTGGCTTAGAAAACATGTGCTTAGATCATAATCGCAATGAGAAGCAAGTGTAAGGTTAGGGCGTTTAAGTTTAAATTGAAAAAATTGGATTCCTGACAAAAACCCAATTTTTTTAATTTGAGATATAAATTTAGTGATTTCTTTTTATTAGCTGCCACATGTTAATTGTGCATTATTGCAGTACTGAAAAGGAGAAAAATTGTATTAATCACACTATTAATGGTACTCATATATATGAGACTCATTGAACATTTTTGACTAGGAAGGGTAGCCATCCTTTAAGATCATGTAAAACTATTGGGCAGATGAAGTCTGGGGACCAAACTTGAAATAAGAGGTTAGCAGCAACGTTCTCATTAAGGGGATAAAATTAGTGTGAGCAGTGTTCTTAACGTCTAATACAAAGATATATGTATTTTACAAAATGAGGGTGTGGCAGGATCAAAACTACTGCATTGCAACTCAACTGTGCAGCTAAGGGGGAAGATAGATTAGCAGTTGTGTACTTCACCATACCACCTTGCCTTTCACCCAAACCAAAATCTTAACTGACCTGCGCTGGCTCCAGCCATACCGATCATGACTGAGGGAATGACCAGGACGACGGCACCAAAAGCACCAATGAAGGACAAAACCTGGGCTTGTCTGGCACTCCTCACAGACAGCACACGCTGGAAGTACGACTGCCATGGGATGGTGCCTAAAGTCTGGGTAAACAGTGGGGTCAAATGGTTCAGTCTCCTTAGAGAGTAAGTTAGTTCAGTCTCCTTAGAGAGTAAGTTAGTTCAGTCTTCTCAGAGAGTAAGTTAGTTCAGTCTCCTTAGAGAGTAAGTTAGTTCAGTCTCCTTAGAGAGTAAGTTAGTTCAGTCTCCTTAGAGAGTACATTAGTTCAGTCTCCTTAGAGAGTAAGTTAGTTCAGTCTCCTTAGAGAGTAAGTTAGTTCAGTCTCCTTAGAGAGTAAGTTAGTTCAGTCTCCTTAGAGAGTAAGTTAGTTCAGTCTCCTTAGAGAGTAAGTTAGATCAGTCTCCTTAGAGAGTAAGTTAGTTCAGTCTCCTTAGAGAGTAAGTTAGATCAGTCTCCTTAGAGAGTAAGTTAGTTCAGTCTCCTTAGAGAGTAAGTTAGACTGCAGCTTAACCATGTAAACAATGTAACAGCCCTAAGACAAAAATCATAACAAGTGTCCTCCTTACCTGGGCTGCCTACCACTGAGCTAACTTCCACACTAATGAGCTTCTGTTTTCAACTATTGAAAGATTAATCTGTTCACACATCTCAATTTTGTGCATAATCTATTGTAAACTACCACCAGGCCACCAGTGTAATGGAGATAGCATGCCATATAATGGATGCCTCAGTTTATGAGAAGTCGACATATTGTTTTTAGGCAGTTAGAAAGCTTCATCAAATTAAAAAACAGGATACTTTATGTATAGATAATCCTATAACCAGCCACCCTTGCATAGTTACTTTGTTGTTACTGCCTGCTACCACTGATTAGTTTTGCAAAAAATAATTTTAATGAAGAAATAACTTAGGGGGTGGGAAATGTTAAGGGAAACATACATGAAAGTACCTGACAGTAGGGCTGAAATTTGAACCAGCTCGAAGGAGGCCAGGAATGTAAATAACCACATAAGAAACTACTAATTAAAGTTGATCAACATTTTTTATCTTTACCGATGACAAACTAAAAACTTTCAATCTGAGAGTCAAAATCAGAAAAAGCTTACTAGTAGGCAGCCCAGCAAATAGTAAACCTTACCTTACAATAAGCAGGTCCCCTACACCACAACATATGAGGAATGTAATACCAATACTATAACAAACAATAAATCATACCAAGTCTCCCCACACCATAACATAGGAGGAATACAACAACAATACTATAACAAACAGCCTCCCCCCCCCCCCCCCAAACACACCCCACACTATAATATGGGAGGAATGTAACAGTAAACCTTACCATAGCAACAAGCAGATCTCCCCATACACCCCACATATCCGTGTCAACCTGACCTAGCCAGACATCTTTACTGTCCATTAAGTCACCAATGCTGTCATTGGTAAAAATAAATGGGAGACTTAGCACCTGCAAATAGAAATAAATGGAAGACTTAGCACCTGCAAATAGAAATAAATGGGAGACTTAGCACCTGTAAATAGAAATAAATGGGAGACTTAGCACCTGCAAATAGAAATAAATGGGAGACTTAGCACCTGCAAATAGAAATAAATGGGAGACTTAGCACCTGCAAATAGAAATAAATGGGAGACTTAGCACCTGTAAATAGAAATAAATGGGAGACTTAGCACCTGCAAATAGAAATAAATGGGAGACTTAGCACCTGCAAATAGAAATAAATGGGAGACTTAGCACCTGCAAATAGAAATAAATGGGAGACTTAGCACCTGCAAATAGAAATAAATGGGAGACTTAGCACATGCAAATAGAAATAAATGGGAGACTTAGCACATGCAAATAGAAATAAATGGGAGACTTAGCACCTGCAAATAGAAATAAAAATGTTAAATACACACACAAACTGAAAGCATAAAATTGTTTTGAATTTGACTTGAAAATAAATCACTTAACTTTTGATTTTAGTTATTTATCAACAAACTAGTAAAAACAAAATAAAAAAATTTGTTTAAAAAGTAGGTATTAAAAAACTGAGTTAATATTACCAATACTACATTAAAACAACAGAACCAAATCTTACCAGTCCTAGATTAAAACAACAAAAACAAACCTTACCAGTCCTAGATTAAAAAAGCAAAAACAAATCTAACAAGTGCTATATTAAAAACAACAGAAGCCAATCTTACCACTCCTACAATAAAACAACAGAAGCCAATCTTACCAGTCCTACAACAATTAAAACCAGCTGAGCCACATCTGTGTAGGCCACAGATATCATGCTGCCAATGGTGGTGTAGATGATGGTCACTGAGCCCGACATTATCACAGCCGTGGACAGCTCAAAGCCAGCGATGACACTCAGTGTTGTACCTGCAGTCACAGAGACAATATGTTAATAGTCATAAAGATTAACCAACAATACTATTTTTTACTAACCATGGTAAAACACAGCAACAGCAAGTGGTAACCATGGTAAACCACAGCAAAAGCAAGTGGTAACCATGGTAAATGGTAAATAACATCAAGTGGTAATCATGGTGAAACACAGCAACAGCAAAAAGTAACCATGATAAAACAATGAACAACATCTAAAACTGAATTATGGGTCCATCTAATTTTTATAAAGCTAAATAATCTAATAATAGGCATACATGTTCCATTAAGTTAAGAAAATATTTTTTTTTGCAATTTAAGCCTTTTTCCGATTAACATCTGCAGTAGTACCATACATGTGATTCAAATTTTATCAAGAAAAGAGAAAGTTAATATTTTAAAATGTGTACTACTTGAATACAAAGGACTAAGAGAAACACATTGCTTGCTGACTTCCTTTAAACTCTTCTGATTTCCCTACCCTTACTCAGAACATGCAACAATAACCTCTATTACATAATTCCTCAGCTAAGGAAATGTAACAATGACCTCCATTACATAAGACCTGCCTGAAGAAATGTAACAATGACCTCCATTGCATAAGACCTGACCTAAAGAAATGTAACAATGACCTCCATTGCATAAGACCTGACCTGAAGAAATGTAACAATGACCTCCATTACATATGACCTGACCTAAAGAAATGTAACAATAACCTCCATTACATAAGACCTGACCTAAAGAAATGTAACAATGACCTCCATTACATAAGACCTGACCTGAAGAAATGTAACAATGACCTCCATTACAGTCCTGACCTGAAGAAATGTAACAATGACCTCCATTACATATGACCTGACCTAAAGAAATGTAACAATGACCTCCATTACATAAGACCTGACCTGAAGAAATGTAACAATGACCTCCATTACATAAGACCTGACCTGAAGAAATGTAACAATGACCTCCATTGCATAAGACCTGACCTGAAGAAATGTAACAATGACCTCCATTACATAAGACCTGACCTGAAGAAATGTTACAATGACCTCCATTACATAAGATCTGACCTGAAGAAATGTAACAATGACCTCCATTGCATAAGACCTGACCTGAAGAAATGTTACAATGACCTCCATTACATAAGACCTGACCTGAAGAAATGTAACAGCATAGGACCTCACCTAATGCATTAAGTATAGAGGCACTCCACAGCAGGTCACCCATTAGGCTGGCAAAGTAAACAAGAATGGTGACCACATTCCCATAATGCTTTTGGAAGGGGTCCAGCATGGTCAAGTATTCCTGCTCTCTCATCCTCTTAGCAAACAGTGCTCCACCTCAATAATCAGGAAATAAAATTCATGAGAAGTCTCACAAGTAAAACAAAAACTGGTGATTAAAAGCTTCAATTCTTTACAACATAGTGCAACTACACATGATGTTTGAAAAATTTATTTTGACTATTTACCATAACTAGACTAATAAAATCTATTGTTACTTAAGTGTAACCTATATAATATAGTGATTTTAAAAAAGTGTGCCCAATTTGTACTCTTTTACCATATTGGATTTCAGCTTGTAACTCATTAGTAATAATGAGCTTACACATATTAACCAATTAAAACACATATTGTAATTGTTAGCTAACTTATATTAACCAATTAAAGCACATACTATATGCTCACCTATGGTAACAAATTAAAACATGTATTGTAATCGTTAGCCTTTTTATATTAATCAATTAAAGCATACATTAGCCTACCCATATTAAGTCCAATAAAAATGCCCAAGGGTGCCAGTGTCCAAATGATTCCATCTCGTGCTATGGACTCAGCTGTTCCGTTAATATAACCCCCTCCCACTGTTGTAGCTGAAAGTAAAGAAAGAGGTGCACGTTGAACAAGAGTAGACTGAGATTTCTGGTCTACAGCTACTATACTTGTGGCTGAGTTCGGTTAGAAATGTTTCTAATTTATATTTCTTAAAATCTGACTTATGATACACTTTTACACCTATCATGTAAAGTTCAGGCTAAAAATAAACTCAAAGAATGGGTAACAAATGTGCTGACCTATCATTGTAAATATTCCTACAATGGTCTTTAAGTCTCGACCAGCAACCAATGAAGTCTCCAGGCCACCAGTCACGCCAGTTTCTTTGCTTTTGACCTTCACCTTCCATGCCGCCACCACGCCCACAACCAATATGGCCAGGTAGAAAATGACAAGGACAATTATAGCAACTACGTTGACTGCCATTATTGCATGCTGCCTCCTTCAATGGGATCTCTGTTTAAAAAAAAGGTTTTTTTATTGTTAGAACATCCCTGAGTCCACCCAACATATTGCAGAAAGTAACCCTGCTGGGCATAGTGATAACTATAGCTACAATATCCCTCCATATGCAGAGGTCAAGAAACAAACCCAACTTCATCTAGGCCTAATAATAATTATTAATAGGCCTAATACCTAGGCCTATTTACTAGTATTTCTCGCTAACTTTGAGGCGTGGTCGGTTGCTAACAACAATATGGCGTCCGGACCGGACGCATGACTTCCGGCGATTTTTTGGCCAAATTTCAGAGACCTTCTACTAATTAAATTTTAAATGTTTACCACGCGCAAAATGGCGGGATTTCCGTGTCATAACAACAAACAATAGGTGGCAGGGTTAGATATGCCAGAAAAGCATTTTAAAATTTGGTTTGGAGAACGGAGGCTAAATTCAAAAGTTGGTTTCATTAAAATTAATAGAATTTGAAAAATATCAACTATATAAGTACAAAAATGATCATATAAGTAAAGCATTATTAAGTCTATCAGTCTATGTAAAAAGAAAGCAAATATTGTCGGCACTTTTTTTATAAGATCGGCTCTCATATCACAACCAATTTATTTTTATTTTTTTAAAAACCACGTGACCGCTATTTGAGATCACTAGTGAGGAACTCTGGGTGCATGGCCACTTAAAAAGTCTAACCTGATTTGTGGTTTTCTTTACGTTCAAGCTTAAGAAGAGTTGTCATGGAGAGGTGTGTTGGCCATGGCAGTGAGTAGCTAGTCTCATAACGCGAGTTGAATTACCTCCCCTGACCCGCTTTTTTATGGCCACTTTCTAGTTTGTTTTTTTCGATCGCGTCTCGGCACTGTTGCTAAAAATAGCATTCGCGCAATACCATACGGATAAATCTGTTTGGCGTCTGCTACACGTGATAGATCGTTGAATGGCCGACAAGCTGATATAAAAATTATTGCGACCGGATGCGATTTTCGTGGAAATTGAGCTAGATTTAGCAAAAGACAGCTATATTTGTGTAAAATTTTATTATTTATACTTCTACTTACACAGATATTTTGATAACTGCAGTTCAGCCGTCCATTTTTCTTTTAAAATGTATCTTTAGAATTTCTGTACCTTTTGGCAATCGGTCAGGAGCATTTGCGCACTAAACCCACCCCCCTACGGCAGATCCGATTTTTTTCCCAGTGAACTCGTACTGACCTCCCACATAGCTAAGATAGTACATTGATACTGATGGGAAAGCCTCTAAATCTGTATTCCTACTAGAGATCTAGAAATAAATCTAGATCGTGGAGTTTTTATAATGACTTTTAAATTGAATGTCTCCAGTTTAAGATTTTTTTTTTTCAAAACATAGCTACTTTTAGTACTATATTCAAGTATTTCAAACCCTTTTGGTAGTTTTTTCTTAAACTTAGACCTAGATCTAGTGATTAGATATCTATATTTTGTACTTATAACTTGCAGGCCTATTAAAATAATAATAAAACAACTTGCTTGATAACTTCATCAGGTCATTTCATAAACACAAATGTTATAAACATATAAAAATCACAAAACCATAGGTAATATCTGAATTATGTAGCCTACCTTACATTTAGGCTAATACTGAATTAAAAAGAAATTACATTAAGGTTTGAAATTAATACAACTTGTAATTAAGAAAGAAAGCTTCAATTCTAAATACTACAAGATATAATAACAAACAATGAAACAAATTCAAAGCTTTTTTCAACCCATTTAGTCGAAAAGATTTTTATTTTTTCCGATATTGACCAAAATAAGTTTTTAAAGCTTAGGCCTACTGTTTTTACAAACATAACTCAATTCTATTAGGCCCCTGTAAACATTAATTAAGACAAAGCAATCTATTTGGCAGATGAAGTAGAGTTCATGTTTCTTGACCTCGGCATATGAAGTGATTGTCCGTGTGGTCAGCGATATTCACAGCCGCCTTCACTTTTTACCTTTAATTTCCCCAATGTATATCAGGTACCCATCAGAAATGGGTGGACTCTAATTGAATTTTATTAAACAAACATTTTGATATAGGCCTAGATCTATAATCTATAACATTCCAAACAACATCTGTTCTGTAGAATTTACCTTTCTGCTTCCAAATGCGGTATTTTCCAATTGAAAATTCATCACAAAACATACAATAAATTATATAAATGGCATTTTATAAATTTATATAAACTATTTACTTTCACCTTGGTGTAACAAAATGTAGGTATAAGCAAACTGATTTCAATAGTAAGAAAGAATCATGTCTTTTCTTGCTTACTAGCTTTAAAACAAGTGAATTTGACTTTTTACCTGCGTTTTTGGTCGCGTTTCTATATATTTTATTTGCGACACTAAAAAAATTATATTTAATCAACCGATTATGCTAAATTAATAAAATTGGTACTGTTGGATTGCATTTTTAAAGCTCTACAATTATATGCTATTCTTTTTATAATTTGAAGAAAATTGAATTTTTATGAGACTAACTACAGTGAGTGTCAATAAATATTAAATTAAGTAATTTAGTTTAAAATGAACTAAAAACTTCAAAATTAGTGCCTAATGGATTAAATATGGATGTCTATTATTCAGTGGTCATGTTTATATTGAAAATTGCGTAAATTTTAGATTTAGTAAGAAAAACTACTATTTACATATTTTATAACATTATAAAAAATAGGTATATAAATTATAAATAATAGTAAAATAAATAGAATAGTTACAGTAACATAACATACATGAGTCACTGTGACTGTTTATTGTTTAGCTAACTTTAAGAGTATGAAAGTTTTTAGTGAAGTGCTACTGCACAAACATGATTAATGTCTAATGATTACAAGTGCGACTGCAACTAACTTACTATAATATAAATAAATGAGCTAGCATTGTAGATCTAGAATTATTTCAATATATTTTTATTTTTAAGGACTACTCAGTTCCTCAGTATTACTCAGACTCAGCAGTAACTCGCTTCTCAAAAGTTAATGACAATGCAATGGTGATGATTTCAATGATTGAAGACTGAAAACTGAAGAGTCAAACAAAACAAAATAATTTTAAAAAATAGACTAGATCTAGAAATCTAGTTATTAAGAAGAACTTATTTAAATCAAATATATGTCATAGACTAGTAGATCTAGATCTATATAGAATATAGACAAATAGATCCTAGATCTAACTAACTAATCAAGAGATCTAATCTAGATCTAACTCATTTTTAAAAAGTCACGTTTTGTTTTTATCACGATACTACGACAGCTAGCTGCCATATGAACTGCCAGGTTTTATAGCTGTAAAATTTGCCAAATTTCTAATTATTTTAAAGGGTGGAGGCTGGAGGGGTGAAGTGCGACATCACACAATTATTATTTTTTTGTTTAACACCATTTTTTAAAAACTTGCCTAAGCATTATGAATTAAAGGATCGTAATTATTATTAATCGGTAGAAAAAGCTGGTAGATATAAATTTGAGGACAATAAAATTTTGTTCGTATAAGTCTTAGGATTACCGAAATTAAACTATGTATCATTGCAAAAAGGCACAATTCTTATTGAATGTATCCTAAGCTTTTGTAATATTTAATAATATAATGTCTACAACATGTAATAGTTTGTCGTGGGTTTCAAAACTGAGTTGCATCATGTCAAAATCTCTTTGACCAATATGGCAACTCTGTTTGTTTACTTTCGCTTTTTATTAACATGTAAAATTTGAATTAAATAAAAGCAAAACAAAAGAGAGATATACCAAGTCAATATTAATATTAAGGGGAACCAAAAAAAAAAAAAAAAAAATCAGGAGAGAAAATTAAATATTAACCGGGGGGGGGGGGGAATTAAGCTTTTGCTTCTGTTAATGATGCCACCTTTTTGTTGATAGCCAAGGCGCGATTGCTGGTATTGTAAGGTCTGAGGGCACTTGATTTAAAAAATAAAAATAATGTCAGGGCCTACCCCTAACAAGTGCCCCTTACGGGAGGGGGGGAGGGGAAGAGTAGAACGCAGGGCTTGGTGAGTTAGGCTAGAACATAAGAGGGTGTTAGAATGCAGGGGTGGCGGTATTAGAACGCATGTATTGAGTGTTCAAACTCATGGGTTGTTATAAAGCAGAGGGGGGACGGGACGGCAAGAACGTAGGGAGCCCAATGGTATTACCCATCCCACACCCTTACCACACCCCCCCCCCCCCACCCCAAATAAACAAGTAAATGAGGGGCATGAGTAGGGAATCGATATCTCAGTTTTGTGAGATGAACAATGTGAATTTTCTTTAAGCATTCTGTAAAGAACGATGAAAGAAAGAGAGAGTTGAAATACGATGTGTTCGATTCCGGTGGTGATCTAAAAGGAAAAAAGCGCAACTGAAAATGCGCAACCGAAAATTGCGCAAACAGAAAAATGCAGAAGTCCAAACTTATTATACAGTATGCTTTCGTGGAATTTTTATTATACCATATTTTACACGTGGTACTTGTAATTTTTAAAAATATTGTGATGAGAATTCACGTGCGCAATAAGCCGTTGCGAATTTTCCTGTTGCGCTTTTCTCCCTAAACTGATTCCGGAAAAGAACTATATTTCTTTAGAAATGTTGAATATCTTATGTTTTGGTAAAATTTCTTTATAAATAAACAACTAAAGTACAATTTCTTTTACTTTTTAAGACGTCAGTAAGTTTTTTTTCGCGATCCTCAGACTGATTTTCCCATTAGCCATGCATATTCTTACGTCGATTGTTGCATCAGCAGTAACGATTCTAGAACTGTGTAGTAATCCTAGACATTATACGAAATTCAAAACATTTTCAATAAACGCCAATGTTTAAAAAAAAACACACTGCTATAAATAAATTAACACTTTAATATAGATCTAAATTTGATATGTCAAATGAGAAAAAGAGAAAAACACTTAAGTCCAATCATTGGTCTAATCTAGTTTATATTAAAAAAACAAAACTAGGCCTAGCACACCATACAGTTGACCAATTACGTTTTAATAAGGCTAAAACTAATTAGACAACACTGACCTGTTAACTGGTTACAGGCAATTAAGATTGACACTACGTGTCCAGGCAATCATTAGCAGCCACCAGCGCCCCAAGTTCCGGGCTCTGCAATACAATAGTGTGGCCTAACGTCACTGTTGTCTTACTGGCTCTGCTGTATACAACCATAGGCCCGAGGGCCGAATCCGGCACTTAATCATACTCAATGCGACATTAGCCTACTTGAAAAGAAACTAAAATAGGCTTACTAGATCCAGTGTACATTTATTGTTTTTAAATTATATATAGATACACACACCTATTATATATATATATATATATATATATATATATATATATATATATATATATATATATATATATATATATATATATATATATATACATATATATATATATATATATATGTATATATGTATATATATATATATATATATATATATATATATATATATATATATATATATATATATATATATATATATATATATATATACACCATCCCCCCTCCTCTACATCGACATGACCAATTCCTGTCTGCTTTACTGATTATCTACAATCTACATTTTCAAGTAAAATTTCTTTAGTGAACTCAACACCCTTTATCTATTTATTTAAGTAAATATTGTTATAATTGCTATAGTTAAATTAATGTAAGTGCTCAGCTCGTTAAAGGCAAATAGTTAAAAAGATTTTACTTTCAAAGCAAACCATAAGCCTGTGTGGTGAGACATAGTTTTACTCTACTTACGAGGCTGTGTTGTGTTTTTCTTTTTAAAGGAACATTCCCCATCCCACTCACAATCTCTACAAACTGATGACCTCTCCCCCCCCCCCCCCCCCCCCCTCACTTACAGAACTCACTTTGATCAGGATAAAAACTATAATGTGATTTCGTTATACAAGCATCCCAAGTTACCGTTCTTGTTTTACATGTTTTGTAAAATAACGAAAACATTGCCCATTGCATACAAATGCTACTTTACATCTTGTATTGTATGCGTTAACCATTTCTTGTTTATTATCAGGGCTTTGCACTATAAGAAAACGTGAAGACCGGCTTTGAAGGTTCGCGTGATGGTGTTGGGTTGGTGGGATGGGGGGGGGGGGGGGGGGGAATACGATAAGAATCGCTGCAGCACATGTTTTGATTTAAATTAACTCACTTTGTATTAATTGTACAGCAACCCTAAGGCTACTCCATATTCTTGGCTACACCATTTCTTATCACAGACCCAATGCGGTGCTAATTAACTCAATTAATGTAATTGCCACAGTCTCAGTTAATGTGTTTCAGTTAAAGGATATTAAAGGATAAGGATTTATTTATTTTATGTGTCCTTTATTTATTTTATGTGTCCTTTATTTAGTGTATGTGTCTTTTATTTATTTTATGTGTCCTTTTTAAAAATGTATGTGTCCTTTATTTACTTTATGTGTCTCCTTATCTGCTTTATGTATTTTCTTTGATTGTCATAGTCCTAACAGTTACAATGGTTCTTTTTATGTTAACATGTCTTCCTGTTTCAACACATTTATGTTGATAGATCCACATGTTTCAACACCTGTATGTTAATAGATCTATCTGTTTAAACACCTGTATGTTGATATTTCTACCTGTTTGAACACCTGTATTTTGATAGATCTACATGTCGCAACGCTTATTTATTAATAGATTTATCTGTTTCAACACCTGTATGTTGATAAATCTACCTGTGTCATACCTGTGTCAACACCTGTATGTTGATAGATCTACCTGTTTCATCACCTGTTTCAACATCTGGATGTTGATCTGCCTGTTTCAACATACACATGTTTGTTGATAACCAGGGACCTAACTGTAAAAAAAAATAATCTGAAATTTGTTGTATTTAAAATGTAAGAGTAATTAGTAAATCTAGATGAATTAAAAGTATATTTACAATAAGATAACCTGTGTTTATTACAAAAAACATCAAGTGCTATAACATAAAAAACAACAGTAAAAATATTATTACAAATTATAGAATAATAATATCATAAATCATATATCAAAAATGTTTTAATTATACTTGTAACAATAACACTTAGATGCGTATACAATATTGTTATTTGAGCTAAATGAGTTTAAATAAAACCCACAGGACTTCGAAAAAGTGTGAGCTTCAACCCAGACAGACAAAACAACCCGGTCGTTGAGTGACGTGAGAGGGTCAATATTGATCGACTGCTGTCAGAGTGACGTTCTGGAATTTTGTTTTGTTCGCGGTAATTAGAGAGTTAACTTGCACTTTAGTGCGGCTTGGCCTAGAATAAGGGCGACAACTCTACAACGGTGTTTAAAAAATTTAACTTAAAAGTTAAAAAAATTAAAATCAATTAAAAAAAAACCCCACTAATAACATTAAAATGAAATTATACTGGAGAGGTAATAAAGATTTAAAGATAATAATTTTAAAAAAGCTTACACAAAAAATCTTTACAAATTATCAATTATTTTGTCCTGTTTCATCATCTCCTTCATTGTTTTATATATTTGTTCAACGACCTGAACAAGTGACTATTCTTGGTGCTGTTGTTGTTGCTGTTACTGTTGTTGCTGTTGTTGCTGTTGTTGTTGCTGTTAATGTTAATGTTGTTGTTGCTGTTGTTGCTGTTGCTGTTGTTGTTGCTGTTGTTGCTGTTGTTGCTGTTGTTGCTGATTTTATTCCATGAATCAAACAATTAGAAGGCTGATACAAATTATATAAAGTCAACCTTTGGTCCTCGTAAGTTTCGAACATTTCTAGATTGGAATCATTTGAAAGGACGGTAAAAGTATCAGATCCATCTTGGTGGGTGTGGGTGGTTGCGCTATAAGGGTCAATGAAATAATTAAGTAGTAGGTAGGAAAGGGGGGGGGGGGGCGTCGTTTCACAATGGGTGGGGACCAGAGATGGTGTGGGATGGGTAGGGGGATCAATGATCTATAAATAGGTGATACGCTCGGATAGGTTTGATTTAAAATTAGAGTTAAAAAGTAGTAGGAATGTATATCTCCGCCCCAGGTCTGTCTTGGGCACCCTCTCTTTCGTTTACCCACGGGGGTTCCCCTCAAGAACCGAAGACAGCAGGGATGTCTTGGGAGGATGCCAAATCAACAGTTGGGACAAAATGGGAGATTATGGTTGAGGCCTTATGCTCCATATAGTTAAGAGGGTTCAATAAGGTAAGTAAATCAAAGAATGTAAATCATAAGTAAATCTTTTAATAAACCAAAAGAGAGCCAAGCCACAGCTTAATCATGGGTGAAGTAGAGCCCCCTTGTTCCCTTGAATATTTCAGGTGTTTGATCAATGCCATCTAGGTTTTCCATGTGTTTGAAGGAGTGGGGGCGGTTGTAAGTTCCTAGCCTTTCAAAGGTGAGTATAGGGGACACTACTCACTACTGGTACATACCCACTGTTGTTATCATTGTTACTTCCCTTGGAAAAGTAACCCCCAAACTGATTTGTGTACTATGTTAAATGATGGGGCCATATGATCAACTGTTTTTGCTAATACACATTTAGAGAGACACACTTGGAGACCGAACAACTTTAACGTTAAGATATAAATTCAATCAGTTTATGCAGACGTTTTCCTCAATCATTAATTAGCAAGGTCTTCAAATGTCATACTATTTTAAGCAATTTTTTAACACCGCGTTCCATAACGTCACAGAAAATCACCGCCCCTTCCTAAAATAATTAAATACATTTCCGTGCACAACCCCTTAAGTTCTAATGTTATTTTGAAGTTATTATCCTTTTTTTTTCATTAATTTTGTTCTTTACATACATTATTCATTAGATTTCTTGAACCCCCCCCCCTCCCCACCTCATCCCCCTTTGTTAAGAATTAAGTATGCTGGTCTTCCTTTTGATGGTAAAGTATGGTGATACATAGGCGAGGGGGGGGGGGGGGGGTAGAGGGGGGAGGAGGGGGGATGCGATAGGGGAGTTAACTAAAAATGAAGGACGTCAGTTATCTACCCCTTATATACACACGCATTAGTATTTTTTATGAAAAGGTATTCAGCACAAAAGTATTTATTTTAATACTTGACTAGTCCGTATATTTATTTTTTTTTCTATTAAATCTTTATTTTAATGACGATTCAATTTACGAAACATTTTACCACTTTATCATTCTCTTTGAAATTTTATAGGTCAACAGAATTTTTTTTCGTTATACAAAGTTTTCAATGTGGTTCTTTTGTTAGTGGGTATGGCTAAACCAACAGTTAAAATTCAAGTTCCCTTTTCGAACCTGACTGCCCATGGGGCAAATGAAGTAGAGTTTACCTGTTTCTGTGTCCTTGGCATATGAAGGGATAGTGTGGGTCAGTGGCGTAGGCAGGGGGGGGGGGGGTTAGGGGGGGTCATAACCCCCCCCCCCCCCATGGACCCCTCGGTATATAGAAAAAGTATGAGGGGGGGTGCAAATCGAAAGTTTGAGGGGGGGTGCAAATTGAAAGTTTGAGGGGGGGGGGGGTGCAAATCGAAAGTTTGAGGGGATGGGGGGGAACAAATCGAAAGTTTGAGGGGGGTGCAAATCGAAAGTTTGTCCCCGGGTAAAAATTGGAACCCCCCCCCCCCCCCCCTTGAGACGATCCTGGCTACGCCACTGGTGTGGGTGCGGTCAGGGGCGTTCTACAGACTTGAACCCGACTTTTGGGTTAGCAGTCTGGCACTCTATCGCTAGGCCACGTCGTTCCATTATTAACGAACCTGAATATTTTCGGTAACACCGTAATTTTTCCACCTCACATCTCGTGAAGGGAGACAACGCTCAACAGAGAGAATTTATCCCGGCATTCCAAGAGAAACCAACAGTACCCACTATCAAAATTTCAGTTTTACATCTAAAACGGCAATTTAAATTTCTACCACAAAATTGTTTTCAGCCTAATTTGGTTCAAACGGTCAAATCAGCCAGCGTTCGTTAATTTTCAGATCCCTAAAATAGATTCGTTTCGTTTATCCACTAAGCTGCCTAGTTACTTTTTTTTAGCAACTCATGTATAGAAAAAAACAATTATTTGTTAAACAACTTCTCTAAATGGATG